GATTTCGCTCCATTGGAGTTGGGCTACCAGATGTGCTGCTCCCACTAGCCACATGAGGATGAGGAATTTCATCTATTCTGCTAACTAATTTGTCATGAGTGACAGAATCCGAGACTTTCAATTCATAAAATTGGAAATCCTTAGTTACCTCACCTCTACTAGAAAAATCCTCCTCTAGGAAGGTGGCATCTCGTGACTCAATTTCTGTCACACTTCCATCAGCTTCTTCTCCAGTAAAAACATATCCCTTAGAATATTCAGGATATATAATAAATATACATTTCTTTCCTCTTAGATCCAACTTTTCATACCTATGATAAGTTTGGTGAACAAAAGTTGTTGATCCTCATGGCCGCAAATGACCTAAATCAGTTTTTTCACTGGTCCGTAGCTCATGTGGAGTGGAAGGTACAGACTTAGAGGGCACACTATTAAGAATGTAGGTTGCAGCCAATAATGCATCTCCCCAGTAGTATAAGGTAAATTAGCTTGCGCCATCATCGATCTAACCATGTCAAGAAGGGTCCTATTCATCCTCTCTGCAACACCATTTTGTTACGGAGTTACTAGGTATAGTTAGTTATCTTGCTATCCTTTTTCCATTACACAATTTCTTAAATTGCTTAGATATTAACGACCACGATCAGTTCTAAGAGCTTTGACTTTTCTGTCTAATTGATTTCAACCAATCTAATATAGCGTTGGAAGCAATCTAATGTTTCTGACTTGTGGGAGATCAAATAGACATGGCCATATCGAGTAAAATCATCTATGAATGTGATGAAATATGATGCATCATGTCTTGCCTTCATATTCATTGGGCCATATGTGTCCAATTGAATAAGTTGCAGGGGTATTGTGGCTCTCAGAGCTTTGCCAAATGGTTTTCTAGTTGTTTTTTCAGCTAAACAATGCTCGCAAGTAGGTAAGTCATCTTTAACGAGTGGGCCAAGAAGACCCTCGCGAGCTAATCGTTTCATTCTCTCTTGCCAAATATGTCCTAATCTAGCATGCCATTTTAAATCATCACAAACATTATTGCTAGAATATGCAATAAAAAAAAACTACTTATATTGTTACAAATAGAAATAGTGTCTAACACCATAAAACCATCTGACAAATATCCATGACCATAATAACTAGTTCCCAAATACAACATAACACAACTATTTTCAAACACATTTAAAACCTAAACCTAGAAGGACTAGAACTGAAACAAAACTTTGTCGGATGTCAAGTGCATACAATACGTCATGAAGATACAATGTGCGTCCACCTCGCAAATCTAATGTAAGTGCATACAGTACATCATGAAGATACAACGTGCGTCCACCTCGCAAATCTAATTTGCAGGTGCCGATCCTAAGGACATATGCGTTAGAGTTATTTCCTATGTAAATACGTCTACTCCCAACTGGAATTCGACGAAACTCCATGTATGCTATCCAATCTCTCACTATGTGTTTGGTTGGTGCTAAGTCTACAGTCCAGATAGTAATGGTTTCAGCAAGCATCAAACAACCTATGTAGCACGGACACGGATCCGACACGGTCATCCGACACGCCGACACGAGGCAAATCTTAAAAAATACATAGGATACGTGTGTTCGACACGTGTGTCCGACACGGACACGACACGGCTTCATGTTATGCGTGTCCGTGCTTCATAGCAAACAACTACTAAAAAATATAGTAGAGTTGGACATTGTATCACATACCTGCAGCTTAGTGCACTCACGAGTTAAGTAACCCAACTTGTTGCAATTGTGACAGACCATCTTTGTCTTGTCTTTCTTGCCACCGCGCTGTCCACGCTTGTGCTTGACATATCTAGCCTTCTTAGGATTCAGTCCAGCATCTCTACCCCATTTAGGTGCTCCACTTTTGCCTCTTCCGCGCTTAGAGCCAAATGCTCTGCGCGAGCTAGCCTCAGCCATGTAAGCCTCCTTGCTGGGTTTCTCAGTCAGAAGGCGATCCTCCTCGAGCTTCACATAGCGAGCAACATCATCAAAAGTCTTGATGTTATCATTATGGGCAAGGTTAACCCGCATGTGCTCCCATGAGCTAGGTAGAGAACAGATGACAGCCTAAGCCTGTTCGTCAGAAAGCTTATGTCATGTCGCTCGCAACTCACTAATCATGTTTGACATAATAGTAAGGTGCTGCATCATCGAATGATCATGACACTTCTTATAATCGTCAAACTTGAGAGTGAGTGTGCGCTGTCTAGTAGTGGAAGTTCCACCATACCGGAGCTTAACAACATCCCAAACTGACATAGCTGATCGATACCTCTCAAAACGTAACATGATATCATCTCTCATGCTACTCAGCATCAATATGCGAGCAACGTTGTCCTTCCTCTTCTAAGCTTGGGAGGCTTCATGATCACGTTTATGCTACGCAGTGTTGCCCAGTTCAAGTTCAGTCACTGATTGTGTTATGGTTTCCCGCATAATTTGCTCCTCGAGGAGATACCGAATCTTGTGATGCCAAATATCATAATTTTTCTCATTCAGTTTCTCCCTCTTATTGAGGTCAGCAACGATGCTCTTGGTTGCATCCATAATCAACTAGAAACATAATAAATAGCACATAATTAATAACTAGCATAATTCATAAAAAAATTTGCTGCATTATCTTGAATAATTTAATAATAATCTAAGTCATGGAATCGAAAGAAATGTAATACATCCAATTCTCCCATTACAAAGTTTTAATATTATTAAATCATTCAATTGTGCGCAAAATCTAGGAATTAGGCGAGAATATTTCTTTAAAAAAAATTCTACCAACCTAAAACCTTCCACTCAAAAAAAATATCATGACATGTTATTAAGCATGCTAATTAAAAAAATAATTAAACATGTCAATTTATTTACAGAAAAAATACAATTAAATTTATGCTAAACATACAAAGAAATAACAACTTATAGGCTTCTATAGGGTCAAACTGCAATTAATCAAAATATCTGGGTAGAACTGTAATTTTATAGAAAACTAGGTCAAACTATAATTTTTCAGAAATTGTGTCAAATCTGTAAATTTCCCAAAATGGGTCGAAATTTCAATTTTCCAGAAACTAGGTCTGTTTGCAAAAAAAGAAACATTTTAGACTAAATTGTAAGTTTACACCAAAAAATTGGGTCTGTTTCAAGTTTTCGTAAACTCTGGGTTTCGCTGTAATTTTACACAAAACAGATTCTGATTCTGTTTATAAATTTTTGGTAATATAAGGGCTTATGTGTAATTTAGTAAAAACTATCATTTTACTGTCTACAATAAAAAAAATTTAACATAACCTTTCGATCGACAGTCCAAAAAATGTAAATAATATGTCTATGGAAAGCTCTCATGTAGATCTATACATAGAGATTTATAACTGATCAAAAAACTTAATAACCAGAGAGATATATGATTGCAAACATCAAGCTATTCAAAACGTATTGAAAATTCAAAATTAAATATCTCTAAAACCACATGATAATTTCAAACGAAATTTTACAGAGATGGATGATCAAATATGTATAGTCTATTATTTGAGCCAATATAAGATCATAACAATAGGTATATTAGAAGTTGTCATTAAGCATCTAACAAGCTTTTTTTTAATGGGCATATCAATATCAAACAATATGAATGATCTTATTTAATCCGAGAACACGAAATCTAGCCTTATGGCTCTGATACCAATGTTAGACTAAGAGGATAACCAACGAATCGGAAATGCGGAATTAAAAGTTACCAATTCGAAGCGTTCCAGCATCTTTATCTCCGTCGGCCAGAGTCACACACTCCACGATGATCGCTGTTGAACTCTAGTTTACAGCGACGAAATGGAAATATGATTCACAACTCAAATGCCTCTTTAACTCTCTTGTTTTTTTATTTATGGCTATAGTTTCATAATCACTGTTTTGAACTCTCAGATTATTGTTCAAGAGAGAGTTACTGTTCACCAGAAAGGGAGACTTTTGTAGGCTTTACTTTTGGGCATAGTTAGTTTTTGTAACTACCCATGATGGAGGGGTTATACGGTTATGGGTGTAACCACACTTCCTACATAATCATTGCAAATGCTTTTATGAGCGCAATTCTTGATTATCTAGACTATGAATGCATGCCATTTTCATGGCTGGATCATTTTGAGATGATGGACAATTTATATGGTAAATAAAACTATTTCCTGAACTATCTGTACATCAAAATATAAAATTTTAGAATGAAAACAAGTAGCTATAAAAGAAAAGATGATATCCATGTTTAATAAGAAGATATTAGTTATTGCCCTTAGGCTCTTCAAGCTTGTCCTGATAGAAAATTTCACAGCAATTAAAGAAAATAGTTTGTAAATATTGACCAATCTTATATAACCACTAACAAACATATATGGAGTCAAAAAGGTCTAGACAGAGAAACAGCCATAACCATAATCCATGGTAATACAATGCCAAGTGTCAAAAGGACGAGGTGCGAATTATGTTGGAAACCATAAAACACTAGTGATCCTTCTCAAACACAAAAAAATTTCTGACTCAATGTCAAAAATGCAAGTGTAACTGATGATGATCATCATCAAAAGTGACAAGCAGAACAGTCTACTTGGTACAACTCTGCAATTTGATGTCATATCATTGTTAAATAATATGTACTTGCTGAGAGTATGTTGCTAATAATTTTTCTTTTGCTCACCAGTGTATTACAATTGAGCTTCTAAATTATGTTGTTCCTTGTGTATATGAAGTAAGTATACAGACAATCACACTGATCAGCATCGTCATCAATCGTGGCAAGTAGCAGCGGTATATGCTACTTGGTATAAGTCTGCAATTTGATGATGTAGACAAGTACATTACTTATCCAATTTAGTGAATGTTTATTGAAAGGCAAGAACAGAATTTCACTAAAAACAGTTATTCCTCTTATGCGCTCATTTGAACTTTTGAGCATATTATGAAGTAAAAGGTTAGTAAACAATTGAGTTTATTCTGTTTCTGCAGCTCTGTTGAAAATTCATGGAAGAAAGCAACCGAGTTGCTTGTGCAAGTGGCTTCTCATGGGGAAAATAGTGGCTATGAAGTGCCTTGCCTTATTGTTTCTGCAAAAGATGATCTTGATCCATATCCTTTGGCCGTACAAGATTCTACAAGGGTACTTCGAACTTCAACATCCTTCTTTACAAGTTCATGAAACAACTTTAATAGCCTTTATTTTATTTTATTTTTATTTTTATTTTTTGTGGCATCATAATTTTAACTGTACTATATTTACCTGATTTGATTACTCGTTATTGATAACTGGAATAGGCTTTACATTGCTTGCTTGAGTACCATTAAAATTCTAGTATGGGAATAACTACGCGTGTCTGGTGTTCTAGACATGGAGCAAACTTATGTGCAGGTCAAACGTCTTTTAGTATGTAATATGTATAGTCAGTCTCTACTGTCCTGTAAAACTTATGTATAACTTTTTTTCATGAAGATGGAGATGGTAGTGGAGCTCAAAGGTCCATGAACTACTTGATTATTATACAACCAGCTGTCTACATTGGCCCAGAGATTCCTAGGTCCTGGCTAAGCAAACAGTGGACATGAGGGATTTTTTTGTAAATGCCAAAGAGCTGGTAAATAATAAACCCAAGTATGTAGCCATCCATTTAGCTGTTTAAGTTACTTGGCCAGAACCAACTCCTGGAAGTTCATGGAGAATAGAACCCGAGGATAGAAGTCTAGAAGAAAGGGGAATGATGTCTTTCTATAGAAACTTGCGTATTAATCTTGACAAACAAAGCAAGACGGCACGAAATGACATCTCACACTTTATCTTTTGACTCCACATTTATGTAAGACAAATGACAAGATCGCTAATAACTGTTGTCTACTCAGTTCCTCTGTTCTGGATCATCAGTGGTGGAGCTAGGAATTTATAGTAGTGGTTCACAGTGTATATAGAAAAACGATATTACAAAATTTTCTCCCACATTCTATATAAACGGAACTATAATGAAATATATTTAACTGAATATAATTACAGTTGACCTATCATTGCATAATATCATCTTTCAAAATACCACTAAATACATCCTTTTCAATTTAAATTACTAACTTTTGGTTCATCTACATTGTCATCTTTTTTCTTCTAAAAAAAACTGATATTAGGCTCTTTGACAATGCTAGCTCTTTTAAATTAATGGGTCATCTAGATACATGATTACTTTATTTAGGCTTAGGCTATTAAGGATTAATGAGTTTCTCATTTTTAAAATGGTGTCACTATGTAATTAAGTTATACATTAACCTATGTTTTTTCCCAATTTCTATTTTTAATGATGTCATTTTGTAATTAAAAGGGTGGTGACACACCACCCTCTTACAAGTACATCCGCCGCTGGGGATCATGTTACGATATGCATCTCTAGATGTGTAACTTTTTTCCATTATAAATAGGTCATAATGCTTTTTTTACTTTTTCTGATTGAAGGTTAGCCAGGATATGGGAATAGAAACTCCTATTCCTGTCAGCATGAAGTTAAGAGATCACAACAATTTGTTCCGTAGAATTATTACTGCTGCACAACATCCCCATCTTAGCATCCCTGAAACAGAAGCTGGGAGAAACCGCAAGCAATATCGTAGACTTGTTAATCGTTCTCTTATGTTTGTTTCAGGTATTGATTTACGTCTAATCAGTTGCAAGCAAACTCATAGCATTAAAATTAGGGTGTTTTGCCTATAAACCCAAAGTTTTGCCCCCATTTACTTTCCCATATAGTTCTATGTGTTCTCGTGCACTTAAAATACAAAGTTTGATTATCTTTGAACTCAGCATATAAAATACGTGTATAGCTACATGCAATGGGTTGTATAGTTTACGCACTATAGAGTGTATAGCTGCATGCCCTGTTCTATGTAGTTATACACTTCAGATTCTATACTTCTGGTTTAAAGGTAACAAAACTTTGTATTTTAGGTGTACGAGAACATTTAGATTACATGGGTTTTAAAGTAAAAATTGGGAGTAAAATGTTGGGTTTATAAGGGGGAAAAAACCTTAAAACTTATTATTCTTCTTGACTTGTTTAATTCCTAGCTACCTATTTCTTATATAGGGTTCAAGTTGGCAATTTATTTTTCATGAAATCACCACTTGAATTGTTAGATATAGGCAGCTATACTTGAGTAATGTGTATTGCTTTCACTTAAGAGGGTGATGATGGATGATATGCAATTACTTATATGATGTTTAATAAGATGTCATTAGACACCGAATTTTGATCGTAATATTAAATTCAGGCCAATTGTAGATGCTGTATGCATGCATGCTACAACACATGAACTACGATACTTCATTATCGGTTCGTTTCTTTCTTGTTGTGCGGCCAATACTTTTCATGTGCAGAAAGAAAGGATTTTATTCATTGTGCATATGCTATACATCATGTGGAACTGGATTGCATCAATACCCTTGACTACTTGAAGAAGCAATTGTGTCTTCTATTTGAACAACATTGATGACTAACACCTGTCAAACTACTGCATTCAAGATATTAGTACGAAAATTCCACTTCACATGCTTTTAACCGTAATAATTGGTAATCTGGGAGGGTGTGATACTTCAATTTTTATGATCCTTTTGAGCACTAAATGTGCCATAAAGAAATAAGCTGATGACATTTTGACAGATGTGAATGCATGTTGAAGCCATCTTAGGGTTATGTACGTCAATACATTTTTAAAAAAATTTCTGGGTAGAATTGTAGACCAATTTTCTCCCCTTTGCCTGTGACTGGCCAAAGACAAATATCTCAGCAAACACACACACGCACACACACGCACTCATCACAGATGCACCCACTTTCACTCAACAATCCCAGAAACCCAGAACAAACACAACATCCCTCTCCATTGCATGCTCACAAGGCTTGACCAAAAGTTTGAAGACAAATTTAACAAACTTTAATTAAATATGCTTTGTTATTTTGTTCTTAACACTGTAGTGCATTTAATGCAGTTGCAGAAGTCTTCACAATGTTTAATTCATTTATTTAATGATTTAAGCATTTAATAGCGAAAAGTGTTAAATCCTTTGATGTGTAATAATGTATGAGTATAGAATGAAGCTTAATTACACGAAACTGAATCTCTTTTTTTACTGTACCAGGTAAGTCACTTAAATTTATTCAATTATGGTTATGTAATTATATTACATTTTATTTCCAAAACATTGTCACTGTAGGGATTTCCTGGGCGCACAGACCGACAGTGAAAAGTATTTGTTTTAAAGCTCAAAAGGACAGAAATCATGAACTTTTAGACTTTAGCTTTGCTTTTGCTAGGATTGTGCAAATTTGGGATAGTATGTGAATTTGGTCATGGAGAATAAGCAGACCAAAAAATAAAAAAGCTGATTATTTGATTTAATTTTTGTTGCATTTTTTGTGTTAAGGTGAAGTTAAATTGTAAAAGAAGTCAATTAGCTCATGCCATGGTTATTAGACAGATTGGCCTTTACTATCAATAGTATGGATTTTATGTGCAAACACGGAAACCAGTTTCATATAACATTAACAAAAAATGAAGCTTAAGATCGTTTGTTTTCTTTAATAGTTTCGACGAAGGCATAGCCTGAGCTTGAACCTGTATTCTCCGATAACCTAAACACTGGCTTTTATCAATGAGCCATTTCCAGTGGCAAATTGATTGTTCTTTTTGTTGGCAAGAAATTATGTAAGAATATTAGCATTATCCATTATCCAATAATTTTCTTCATGCGGTTTCTCGCATTACTTCTATTCATATTTATTGATATTCTGAAACACGAAATCTATTTCCTCTGCATTGCAGTTGGAGCTGCAGTTGCGGTGGTGGGATTGGCTGCATACAGGGTTTATGCATCAAGGAAAAATACTTCCAGTTGACCGTTCTTTGATTTTCGAGGTTTGCCAGAGCCAGAAGCATCCTTTTGGTTTTTTCTATCCATCTATAAGTACATATACTTTTCTTTGTGGAGGCCTACTAATAATTTTTTGGATACAGCAGAGAACCATCTATTTCTGGTTTCAAAATTTTCTTCTTCCTGGATGAAGAATTTCTTTGGAAAACAGTGTTATTGGCTGTCAATTTGGATCCCAAGCTGTGTTGCTATTTCATGTTCCGCCTTTTTTTTCTTTTTCTTTTGTTTGGGTATTGAGAGGCTGAATTTTTCTACCCCAATTAGGATACTGGCAAGTCTTTTGCTATTCAACAGTTAGATATTGGGGGTGAGAAAAGAAGAAGAAATATTTACGCAGCAGTTTTTAACTCAAAAATGGTCTCAATTATTCTTAGAAGACTGATTCAGTTTTCCTGAGTTCAATCAGGTTGAATTCCATGTAGTATCTCTTACTAGTAGGAATATAATAGAACCCCTGAGGAATCTGAGATTAGGATTGTAATTTTTTCTGAACTCCATATATTATCTATTATTATGATAACGGAGCCTCTAATGGGTCTGAGGATAACATTGTAATTTTTTGTGCAATCAGGTAGCGGCTTGATGCGTGAACGGGGCATGTGAGATAGGGAGTAACTCGAGTTGATATAGTTGTTGGACTTGACTTTGAGCATTATGCAGTGCGTTTGTATTTGACATATTTGACATATACCTGGCTTAAATTGTGGAATTAGTTGGATTTCAGAAATTTTGCCATTTTGTAGTTTTAGTTTGTTAACGGTTTCTTTAAGGCTTTTAGGGCTCGTTTGGATGATTGGATGTATTATAAGGGGGTGTTTGGTTGCATTGTTTTTGAGAAATGTTTTCTAAAAAGTACTGACGCATGGCATTTATGTAATTAAGAGTTTTCTATACATTTCTATAAACTGTGTTTGGCTCCAAAAAAATTTACAGAAATGTTTTCTATAAAGTGCCCAAAAGTATCAAATTTTATGGAAATTGATTTCCTTCTAAAATGGGAGGAAATCTCTTAGAAATCTGACGCATTCATTATTTAAATAATAAAACTCATTAACTCTTTTCTACAAAGTTCTTACTTTTTTATAAAGTTGGTGGTGTTTAGTTACATTTTTATAAATTATAGGAAATGTTGTTATTTTCTCAAAAGTTATTTCTCATTTTCTTGTTTTGAACCAAACAAACACAATACAAAAAATAAGAAAATTTGTATTTTTTAACTTCTCAAAACTTTTCCTATAATTTTTTTAAGAAATACAAGGAAATCAAATTTGGGATGGAAAACATTTTCTATAATTTATAGAAATGTAACCAAACACCCCTTAAGACTAGATAAAAGAAGTAACTTTAAAATTGATAAAGTAGCAAGTAGTGGAAATATTAAATATTTTTTATTTGTTTCATATATTTGTAGAAGTAGCCAGTGAAAATATTGTCTGTAAGTAGCATTAAATCTGACATATAACTATATCAAATAAAATCAGAATATTATAATGCTGATAATAGTATTAAATTTATTTTTTAATAATAATACC